GCTCTCCTCGCCAGTAGTGCCTGCTTCAGGTGCTTTCCCAGGATCAAGTGTCCTGTCCTGCCGGTGTCAAGACTGCAAATGACTTTACATGGGCCGTGGGCCTTATTCATATGTTTAGTCTTTAGCCTAAATGGAAAGTTAATAATGATGCTGAAGGAAACTGTGCTTATCTCTCGCTGTTGACGTGTTCTGGGTTCTCCTCGCCGGTAGACTCTACTGGCTTTCCTTCCCCAGGATTTGTCTTCCCATCCTGCCAGTGTCAAGTCAAAAGGAAGTCGACTGAACACCAATGTTATTGTTGAACTGCAGGTGTCAAGTCTACATGGTGTACCTCTCTACATGAGAGATTTTTCTCAAAAAAGCTTGCAGCGCTTCAGCACTCTTGCAATGCCCTTGGAGGCCAAACACTGCCATCAAGAGTTCCTCCTCCTGAGGCCCAAAACAGCCTCCTGCATTTGTGAGTGAACCATGGCCTCCATGACCTCCTTTGCAAAGTTCTTGATTGCCAGGACCCAACAATTCTTGTCAGGTGATGCTTCCGTGGCCAGATCTTCCATTCCACTGAGCAAAGCCGTGTGGATTGCGCCAGTTGAAGCAGGCTGGTCCCGGATCCACTCAGCGATGGCCCCAACGCCATTCCCCAACTCAAATCTAAATTGGTTCATGAAAAGATCAACCTCTTCAATCTTGTACTCTGCCAGGTTAAGCAAGCTTTCTTGTGTCGAGCCAGCCAATACGGACAAAGCAAGCCTCACATCTGCAACGCTGGATGTGAATAAAGGCATTTTCCTCATAATGAAATTCGGGAGGGCATCCAAATACGCGTGTGCTGCTGCAAGCAAAGCCATGAGCGGCAAGACCAAGGGTGGCATGGTGCCCCTTCGAACTGCTGGTTCACCTTTGCAAAGAGATGCGCACAGCTTTGCAATTGGAAGAACCTCCAACTCCATTTTCAGTAATTATGGCTGGAGGCACACAGGAACCTATGTGATTTGCTTGAGGGTGACACTTGAGCTACAAACTTCGATGCAATGAAATATTTTCATGCCCTGCTCATGTCCAGACTACACAGTTAACCTCATGCACCCTGTTCAAAAACACGCAAGTCTCCTCCATTGGGTTTGGCTCAGCTGGTTTCTCTCCACCAGCTGCAGCCTTGCGCGGTCGCTGTCTTAATGGTTGCACTATGATTTCACCTCAGAATGAGATGCTAACACTTACTTTGTTTTTCTTGAGTCCGCATGTTAAGACTACTGAGAAGGTATGCATATAAACGAGAGGCCGATCCAGCATGAGCAAGGCCGATGTCAGTTCCCATGTCAAGACTGTTTGTTACAGTCAGTCCTTGTGTAGCTTCTGTCTTTTCGGATCTTTGATCTGAGCAGAGGTGTGTAAATAATCAAATCACTATGTGCCAACAAAGTAGGTTGAAGGTATTGGGTGTCTATAATATTATATATATGTACACATTTGCAAGTGGCCTTCATTTCAAGCAGCATGTCCGAGAATTCCTCCCCAATTTCAAGGATACGGTACATAAGTGTTTGGACTTGAAACACATGAATCCATCACATTGGCAAACAACACTTGTCTAGGTGAATGAATGTCCTGCTTCGACTGTTCTTTCTCAAGGCCTGCACGAAGCATTTCTGAGTGCCATTTGTCTGTATAAAATCTACATCGAATCTATTTGCTTGGACAGCTGTTTGCTGGATCAAAGAAGCTGAGCACTGTGTCAGCTGTCCACGGCCTCTCTTCCGCTGTATCTCCTGATCTTGCTCAGGCCAAGCTTCAGCTAGCACTACAGACATGCACAAGCACAAACTAGGGAACTGACCGCTCTGAGCTCGTCAAGGAGCTGCACAGAAACATCCCCTGGGTTCAGTTGCCCATGGTTGTCCACATCCTGCATCAGTAGTCATGACATGTTGGGGGACTGTAGGAACTCCAACGGGATATACAGTGTTTAAGCCTTTCTGGAAGAGTGATTTGTAGCTATGCCTTCAAGGTGTGAAGACTATTCCCTTTCCTGCAACTCTGCAAGTTCCTTGAGAGCATCACGCGTGCTCTCCCTTGCCAAAAGATCAGCCTCTCGTGCTCCCACACGAGATGCGCTTGGCACCTCTTGTTCCAGCTCGCTCTCCTTTGGTGAGTCCTGTTGGCACAAAAAGCAACTAACAACTTGCTGTTTGTACTGATCAGCACGTGTCAATTGTCAAGACTGCTGTGATTCATGGCAAAGAGCCCGGTGCAAAATACAACTTGAAACTTGACACAGTGTCAAATGTTGCTGGCCTGTAAGATGTTTGTTGCTGGTCGCTTCATGGGTGGTGTTTGCAGTGCTTGTGGTTCAGCTCTTGCTTTACACTTGGGGCTTGCCTTCCTCTTTGGGGTTGCCCGGGTTGCCTTCTTTTTCGGGCTTGGCTTCTTCTTTGGGGTTGCCTTTGTCTTCGGGGCTGCCCGCTTCTTGGGGCTTGGCTTCTTCTTTGGGGTTGCCTTTCTCTTCGGGGTTGTCTTTCTCTTCGGGGTTGCCTTTCTCTTCGGGGTTGCCCGTCTCTTCGGGGTTGCCCGCTTCTTTGGGCTTGCTTTCTTCTTTTGGTTTTCTCTCTTGGGAGTCTGCTTCTTTGCAGATGCTACTGTGCCCTTTAAGAGCCCCTTTAAGGGTGTACTACTCGGCTTGTTTGCTGGTGAAGCTGATGGTTGCTGAGGCATCTTTTCTGTAGATGCTCTCAAATTCGAATTCGAAGATTGTGCCAAAGAAGTCCGTGCCTTTGGCGTGCTGGCCTGGCTGCATGATTGGTATATAGTCTAGAGTCTAGACATCCAATGTGTTGGTATGCGTGCTGTGCCACGCCTTCTTGAAAAAGGTCTCTATTCGCGTCCCCCGAGGCTTTGGCGGCATTTGAGACCGCCAAAGATGATCTTGAGCCAAAATTGTTTGACATCCACTATAGTTTTGACATCCACTTCGCCTCCAAGAGCTCAGCTTCTCCAGCTTCCACTCTCATTGTTAAAGGATTTGGGGTTTAGTCTTGACATCTATATATATATATATATAGATATTTGCATCTTTGCTTCATTTAGGCCACTGTTTTGACATCCCAACATGCGTACATGGCAATGTACTGACATTGTCTGGACTTGCAAAAATGCTCCATTCGTTCCGGGACAGCCAAAATTGTTTGACATCCACTATAGTTTTGACATCCACTTGTGGCTTGTGGCCATGGACTATGTAAGTAATCCAAGCACCCTGAGAACTCTTCCGGCACACCGGATGCCTTGCTACGTAATTGTCTTGACACCCCCTCGCCTCCAAGAGCTCAGCTTCTCCAGCTTCCACTCTCATTTTAAAGGGTTTGGGGTTTAGTCTTGACATTGATATATCATGTTTTATATATTTTTACTGTATTGAGGCCACTGTTTTGACATCCCAACATGCGTATATGGCAATGCACTAGCCATTGTCTTGACTTGCAAAAATGCACCCTTCGTTCGGGGACAGCAAACACAATGAAACTCACTGTATAAGTTATACGCTGTATAATGTCCTACAACATATAACTATCCTGCTGTCTGAAATGGTCAAAGCACTTGGGCAGGGGCTTGGGCAGGACTTTGGGTTCCAAAGGGGCTCCCATTATGTTAAAAGCATCTGTTACATGGACTTGGGCTTGGACTGTTACATAGTTCTAGTTTAGACTGACTGGGTTTCAGAGGCCAACAGGTATAGAGGCCAAGTTTTGAAATAACTTCTGCCAATGCTCGTTGCAGTTGATTCTGCCCTTGTGCTAGTGCCTGCATCATCTGTGCAAATTGCTGTGCCATGTCTGTAGTTTGTTGTGCCTGTGCTCCTGGCTGTTGTGCCATGTTGACTTGCTACCCAGGGATTGAAGCAATCCGGCTTTCCTGCAAGTGATGTTTGTATTCACGGATCTCCGGTGCCAGAACCGATGCAGTTCGGCAGCCTTCGATCCGCAGACGGTAGCCGGGTCTTAGAACCGCGGCTCCGCTACCATGAACGGAGAATTTAGGCTCACAAACGTATTGACCCCGAGTCACAGTCCCAAAGGTGATAGGCACACTTTTAGCTCACGCTTGAAGTAAGCAAGTAAACCCAAATGAACACAAACGGCTGCAGTGAAACTCTATACACAGCTATGGCATGTACATGTAACTGGTGCTACATCTGATCATTCCAAAGACGGGTCACACTTTTGAATGTTGATTCCTCACAATCTGAAATTGAATCAGTCTGAGAAAGAATTGCAGAAGACACTCATCAATTACTACTGGGAGGCCCTGCAATTTCACTGTGCAAGTACTCCAGCTCTGAAGGTCTTTCCGCCTTGTCGGCAAAGGACTGTTGTAGGACCAATCGTGCCTTGCCAAGCTGTTCAGTATGCCAAGGCAGTTCTGTGTGTTGCGACCTGTTGGCTCCCTTCCTTTCACTCCTTTGTGCGCTGCATAGGTAGACACTGGCGCGTTAAAATCAAAATGTGCAGCCTGTGCATTTGCAATCATGGGAAATCTGCTGGTGCTTGCTCTTGTGCTTTGTCTAACAGTTTAGGCGCAACTCGCCATCCAGACATGTCCGTAGCTCGTCCATCCCGGACGTCCGTGTACTGTAGTGTTGTTTTGTCGCCGTCCGTGCGGAAGATGTTGAAGCCCTCTTTGTGGTGGGCAGTTGAGTCAGGCAGTTGACAAGCGGGCGAATGTCGATAGACGCATGTTGCTGGCCTCTCCAACGCTTTCTACTAAAAGACAAAAATAGCCAGAGAAAAGCGGGTCTTCAACGAGGAAATATTCACATCGCTGCTGGTGATGGCACGGTGAGAGGATTGGAGCAATTTGCCTCCCCCAACACCCCACCCTCCACCCTGAAACAACTCTCACCCCCAAATGGAAACAATGATAAACCCTCGGATAGTATCTTTAGAGCCTCCAAGTTCTCCGCTTCTCCCCCCTCTCTCTCACCAATCTTGCACTCCTGTCCTGATTCTGATGCCATTTCAAATCAAGGCCGTCCTCACAAAGAAACACAAGAAAGACCGTCCAACGATTGTCAGAAAGGTTCAAATTCAGGCCGCAAAAAAACACAAACTGCCCACTACGCAGCCAACGTAGCTTCTGAAAAAGCTTCTGAAAAATACAAGAGAAGAAGCTGGAAAAAGATAGAAAAAAGAAAGAGAGAGAAAGGGAGGGGGGGAGGGAGGGAGGGAGGGAGGGAGGAAGGGAGCGAGAGAGCGAGAGAGAGAGAAAGAGAGAGAGAGAGAAGGGGAGAGAGAGAGAGAGAAGGGGGGAGTGCGCTCCTGTGAACGAAGCTGGTTTCCGCCTTCATCATTGATTCGCAGCTCCCGCAGCTTCTTAGGGGCACAAGAAAGCACTTTTCCAGCCCGCTCCTACTCAACTAAGTAAGGCGACTAATTCGCTACTAGCTACTTAAGCTGCTAGACATGGACGCAGGATAGCTCACGCTTCTTCAAGGAAGCTCCCGCCACCTGAGGGCTGGGGGGAGCTTCCTGGAAGAAGCGCTGGCACTAATCATTTCGCTCCTAGATTTTCAGGGAAACTAAGCTGACCAAAGCTTGCGTCATACAACTTCTGACTGGCTTCGGCCGTCTTGCAAGGATCTGTCGATAACATTCGATAACAACATGACACTTGACCATAGAAAATGCAACTTAAGAACTCCACTCATGATCCTCTTTAAGAATTCTAAGAACTCTTGATATCTCTTGATCCTCTTTCTTTAAGAAGCCATTTCTGACGCGGCAAAGAAGCCATGTCCAGTCTCGCTGCCCGCTGTTCAGCTCTGAGGGCTCGAGCCTGACAAAGAATCGCCTGATTCCTAAGGCTGCCTTAAAGAAAGAAAAAGGAGATGAGAAAAGGTAAGGCCTTCCGAGGAGTTCATCCACCCCCTGTCAAGGGGGCCGTACCTTTCTTTGGCCACTTCCAATTTTTTATCGGGCCCCTCCACGAAGATCCGGCCTCAAGCTCGACCTTCTCAATCTCTAGCACATTTGCCCTCGGCCAATGTCACATCAGAAGAAACGGTTCAACAACTGTAGAAAGACAGCTACCTTGCAGACAAGAGGTCCATGGACAGGTCTTCCTCAGTGCAGTGAGGAATCGCGAATTACCCAAAAAAACATCCCACGCTTGCAAGGTATTGGTGGTCTTTTTGTCAAATGATTCATGCATATTGCTAGTGCATCACAAACAAATTCCAGCAAGGTATGTCCCGTGTCTTGGTCAATCAGAAAGCTCTTGGATCTGATCAATGTTGCCTCGAGCTGCCTTTATAAGAAGTAAGGAGGACGCAGCTCTCAAAAACATGTTCAAGCAAAAGAAAAAATATACGAAAAAGGGAAGGTAAGGGCCTCTTTAAGGGCGCTTTCTTCCTCAGTTAGTTGTGAATGGGGTTGCCTTTAAAGCAGCAGGATCTTGACTTCAGGTCCCAGAAACTGTTGTCTGGCGGGGCATCACTGGAGGAGCCTCGGCAGCTCTACAAAGAAGCCCAAATTGAAAACGGACATGCGAAAAAGGCCATTCAACAAGACCAAGCCTTCTCCTTGTATCAAAATTATTGAGTAACGTAAATGACCGAACAGAAGCACCAGAAAATCTTCAGGAAGGGATCGGAAAGAACCTGCATTCTTTGCGCAGGAGGACAACTTGCTATTGCTAAGCCAGATTACCAAGGCAACTTGATTGGTCCGTCCATTCATGGCGGCAGAACCAGCAAACTACTGGTGAAGCCACTGAAATCGGTTGAATTCCGGCTATGTGTGGTTTCAGTGCCAATCAATCTTTGACAAGGATCTAGTCCATCTTTCTCAGTCAAAGCCTCCACAACCTTCTTCTTCAAGAACTCCTTTGTGACAGCCATGACTCAGAACCTTTCACATGGTCGATGAATATATATATATAGGATTATATAGGCCTCCTTCAATGCAGCAATGCCTCCTGCGTGTCAGGATCTCTCCTTCTCAAACGGCTTGGAAATAAAGTCGGAACTGCCATGTTCCTTACTCCTTAGCGGTCAGAGAATCCTGTTCGTTTACACGATGCGGGATACAAATGCAAAAGTGCAGAATGAGGTCAATCACAAGTTCTTCCAAGGCACTTTATGGCGGCTATGCTCGCTGTAGTTGCAGAAAGCATCATGATGGGCAGGGCCTCTGCTAAGTCGGATTGGCAAGCCCATGTTCCACGATGTTAAGAAGTGCTGAGTATCATGACTGCAAAAATGAGAACCTCTGTGGTGATTTGTGGGGGTTATGTATGTTATGTGCACTGACGACGGGCCGGTTCTGGATAATGTGCCATGCATTGTTAGGGCTGTGGGAAGATTCTGGGGTTTGCAGGATGCATGGTGAGTCAATGGTGAGTTCAGGTGACCTGTGGCTAGTGATATCTGAGTGGTGACGTGCGGGTGCAACCCACCAAAGTTATTCCACTGCCAAAACGGTGCTGTAACTGGACTTACTCAGTGCAATGGCTGCGAGTATGCAAGACGAACGCAAACCTTCTCTTCCAAGATATCATGTTTGTGTCCACGACCCAAACTCGCTAGAACTACAAAGCTGCACTTGTAACTCATTGATGGAGTGACCAAGCACTGACATGACCAACCAATGCGGAACCTGTGGACGAGACAGGAAAGCAAACGCTTCACTTGCCCCATTCCTTGCTAACCTCCTTGCCTTTCTTGTTCTTCCGGGGATCGGAGGCAGCTAGTAGTTAGTGACTTCGTCCGAGGGAAGCTTTCTAGCCTTCAATTGGGGGAAACAGTTCCTAGATAGGGAAATCACGCGCCTGACATGCAGCAAATCAACTGTGGTTTGGACAAGGTGCTCTATTATCCCTTTTCTGGAATCCGGTCTCAACCGAACTATCTACATCACAGCTGGCTGTGCGTATGCGAGTGTGTACACAAAGCTGCATTAGTAAAGTCCTAATCCACAACACTGCCGTTTACTACCCTACACTACAATTTACTACATTATTACATCTTATCAAACAACACATCAACAAACACAACACACTTCACTGCATCACAGGCCATCATGCCACTTATCATCACATGACCTCTCGTCACCCAACAATCCCAGGTGGTGCTCGTGGACGACTCGGGCTTGTTGCCCGAGAAGAAGCGATTGAAGCTGGACCGGTACAAGAAACGCCTGCTTTCGCAAAAAAAGATATCTCTGCGTTAAAAGAACTTGTAGAACAAAACAGAAATCCGAAACTCTTTCTTCAATTTCACATCAGCTACCATCCAATGCAATATGGAAGCTGGTGATGGCTATCATGAGGACTCACCATGCAGCCAAAGAGATCAGCCCTGGCCCGAACAGTTCAAGTCAGGCATTTGGGTAGGGCAGATCCAGGGGGAGCAAGGGCAAAGCCCTCTCTTTTGGGAAAATGCGCATGGATCTTCACCGATCTGTTTGGAGAGTGCCGAGAGGGGCCACTTGGTGGTACATATCAGATTTGCAGCCTCTCTTTGAGCAATGGGGAACATCAGGTCATGAACGTGCAGCCGAGTTCATGCACGATCTACTGGGATGGATGCAGATCCGGGTGCTTTCTCACAGTTGGGAACGAAGGTTCTCGACACTCCAAGGCCTTCACATATCCAACTCTGGTGGCACTCATGTGTCGTTGGCCTTTGCCTGGACCGCTGACTTGGATGAAAAGGTGCTTTCACTTCAGGAAATCGTTGGCTCATGGACATACTCGCTGGGCATGCGCTCTGGGCTTGTAGGGGAAACCTCGCTCCCTCTGCTGGTTGGCTGCTCCTTGGAACGGTTAAGGGGTTGGATCCGATTGTCCTCTCTGGTGACATCATGTTGCCGGAGCTTCATGACAACACGTTGAAGTCACATTCAACAAGTTCCTGATCACCCGCTTTGTCTGCCACCGGACGTTCCGGGCACTTCACTTCACGGCTGAATCCCCCCAGGATGGCTGTTTGTGGACGATAATTGACAGCTAGACTGTTGCGAGACCTTGCCTGAGAGCGTTTTTGAAGATCCTTTATGTTTTTATCTTTTGGCTGAGGGATGCCGCCCTCAGAGATTTTTTAAGCATAGTAGCTGCTAGTGAAAGACCCGTGTGGCTCCGCAACAGCCTGAATAGGCTGACGTCTTCACCGTTAGTCAACAATGCTCATCGCGCACATTAGATTCTTATAGTTTACAAGTTTACAAGTTATCGAAATTTCCGCCGTATATATATATATATGTGCTACCACCCCCCCTGTACCTACTTTTAGCCCTTGTTGGCAATGTAGATTCCAGAAGATGGGTGCATTGTTTGATTCTGTAAGGTTTTGCCCTTTTTGCAAATGATATGACATTGATAGGATTGTGAAACTTGTCATTTTTTTGCTCTATGTGCAGTTGGTAAGCATGTTTGTTCAATTAACTATGTACTACAAAAATGTCAAAATCCATAAGGTTAGATGTTTACTAAAAAGTTCTTGGATGTACTTACCTAGTTCCATGCAACCCCCATGCAAACCCATATGTCGTGCTTTCAGAGTGTGAATTGTATTTCTCTTATTGAATGCAGTTGAACAAGTACATCATAATCAGAAGGCAAAGAAATGCAATCCCTAAAAAGCTAAATTCAAGTTTAATTGTAGTTGAATTTAAATTCCAATCTATTCACCTCTACTCTACTTTGTATATGTAAATTCAATTTTTCCTATTTCAATAATTTGCAAATTCTACTTTGATTCAAATGTCTATCACTGTAGATTCTAATTTACTTGGGATTCAACGCAAGCCTAATTTTAGTTTGATTTCAAGCTAATTCTAACTTCATTGCTATACAAGTCAGATTCAATTCTAACAGTGTATTCTTTTTCAGTTTAGTTTTGCTTTGAATGAAATTCTCATTTACTTCTAGGGAGTTGGACATGAGAGATTTTATGTAGTTGCTTCTTAAATGAATTAAATTCACCCCCAGTAACACCCACTCTCTAGAATGACATCAAAACTGAATTAGAATTCCATGTGCATTGAACTAGAATCAAAGTAGGACTAAATTAGACATTATAGAAGCCAAAAAATGTGCAATTACGGCAGTGTAAAATTTGATGTGTAAAACAATTGAATCTGAACTGTATAAAGGCATCAACATTTGAAACTAGTTACAAGTAAATTGGAGTAGCCAAAGTTACAATTGAATCCAAAATAGAATGAAATAGAACTAAAATAGAAATAGACTGGAATTAAATTAGAATTGCATGAAAAGCATTGAATAAAAATCCATTACTTACATTGAAATTGGAATTGACTTAGAACTAAGGTAGAATTGAATTAAAGTTGTTTTACCTAGAGATTAATTAGTAGAACAGTATTGACTTAGAATTATGCTGGAATCTAATTTCAATTAGAATTGAACTAGGTGTAATTTGCAATCTCAACAGTTTGAACTCAATTATATACAGCTCAACTAGGATCATTTTCTATTTAAATTAGAAGCACGTTGCAGATTCAAACTTAGATTCAAGTTTTAATTCAATTAGATCTAAAATTGCCAAACATAATTAGAACTAAAATAGAAATGAATAAATTACAATAAAAACTGAATTAGAATTTGTCTATGCAATAAAATTAAGCTAAATAAGCTTAATTTAGAATTCAATTAGGCTCAACTTAGGCTTAAAGTAGAAGTGTGCTACATACTCAAGTTAGAACCAATTTAAAAATTCAAGTAGACTCAACTGAGAAATTGAAATTCAAATAGAAGTGAATTTAAATTAGATGAAGAATTGACTTAGAATTTACTTAAATTGTATGTGCACTAAAATTCTTAGAAGTAAATTAGAGTTGAATTAGTTGTTACAGTAATTAGAATTGAATGAAAAACAAATGCCGGTAATCAGAAATATTCCAGGATCAAACCAAAACCTTGAGAACACCAACACCAAAAAAGAAACGAATACACAAAGAAACCAACAAATACCTTGCAAAACACAAAAATCAGACCGATGGAGAGGGACCCAGGAGAGGCTGGACAGGAGACATAGATCTGAACTTGTTGGCATTTTTGTCTTTTGTTGACAGGAGACAGGTCATAGGAAGTCCTAGGACTTAATAAGGGAGGTCCTTGGAGGCTCTAGGTTTCAAGAACCAAGATTGTCCAAAGAGTCTTGCTGCAATCTTGGTTCTTGGTTCTTGGTTCTGGGCAGGTCCTAGGACCTCCTAGGACCTCCCCAAACGTAGTGGTAGCATATCCCTATCTTACTGTAGCACTGTAGAACTATATATAGTACTGTAGTACTGTAGAAAATGCGCAGGCCATCTTGTTTCCCAGAAGATGTGAGCATGTCGAGATGACTTGCGCAAAATGCTCGTATATGTATATATATACAAATTAGTGATAAAAGCGTGCAAATACCAGTAACAGTGCAAAAAGGGTAGGTACAGGGGGGGTGGTACCATATATATATAATATATATTGTGTCACTCTGCAAACAGACTTGCTTGCAGCCCAGTCACAGTGATAGATTCCTCAAAATGCTGGCGAATTATCTTGCACACATCATAGCCTTGCAGACGCGGCATGTGAAGGAGTTCTCTAGGCATTGTTCAAAGACCGGCGGAGCTGCCACTGAACAATGCGCACTTTTAGGAAGGCTTGTTGAATCATTGAAAAGTCTCGCCCAGTCTTTGCCAAATTGATGCCTGTCATTCCAGGCATCTGGATGTCAAGAAGAATAAGGTCTGGCAACATCTGCTGGTTCTTCCTGTTCTTTTCCAGCCTTGGGCACCGTCCAGAATTCGCCAACCGTGTCACATTTATATACCAGTGGAGACTCCAAAATCTTAAACCATCCTTAAGACAGTCGAAAAAACACCAATCGAAAAGCATCTCCAATGCTTCATTTCAGTGATCCCTCGATGGTCCAAGGTTTTGGCCATTCTAATGCGCTGTGTCCGTCCATGCAGCACCTCAGCTTCTCTCATTGTCAGTGCCTCTTATTTCTGTGTTTCCTGTTGTTTTTTGTTTGCTTTTCGACAAAGATCTTGCAAACATGGTTGCTCAGTTAGCAACACCAAGTCGTATTCGTTCGCCAAGACTGCCTTGATGATTTCCTCGGGGGGCCAAACGAGGCACACAGAAGGCCATCCAATACAACTCGACCCTGGCCCCAGCACCACTTAAACACATTTTCTTCAAGTCAAAGCACGTTTTTTAGACGAGCCTCTTGATTGACTTCACAGTCATCCACAGACAAAATCAAGGGCCTGTCAAATTTGCGCAGCTTACAGCAAGCTCATCTCTCTGAGTTTCATAAAGGTGCTGAGGCGTTGTGTAGGCTTTGCACAAGCCGCAAGATAGCTGCTGGATTAATCCGCTTAATAAGCTTTAGCTTGGGGGGGGCCTTTCATTTTTTGGAAATGGTGTGCTTTTGAGGGCTGTTTGAAGGCTTTTGAAGTTGGATGAATACTGTGTGGCTTCGGATGTCCCATTTAATCTGCGCAGGCGGCTTCTACCGCGAAGCGGGGTGAATAAACCCTTCAAGTCCGCAGAGTTGCTTTCGCCAACCAGCACAGTGCAACGGTTTGGGGCTCCGAACACTTGGCGTTCTTTGGGGTTCACAATAGATGGATTTCAGAAATGGTACCTGTTCTGGTTTCTATAGCTGTACCACTACGCATGTGTGATGCTTTTGTCTGTTGGCTTGAGTTCTAGGTCATGTGAGGCGAAGGGCCAATGCAGAAAAGGTTCTTCCCACCGTGAAACCAAGAAGTGCCAGGACAGTCCTATTTTGAGGAATATCCAAAAGCATTAAAAACACGTTATTACTATTGCTCTACAAATGTCAACTAACTGTTGAAGTTACATTGCGAACATCCAATTAGTTGGAACAAGAACTAGTCCCATTGTTTATATATATAATATATATATATATACAAACAAACACACATCTTCTGTTGCTTATGCCGCTGCCTCGCCAGACTTACAAAAGTCTAATGTGAAAAGCCTTGAAAAGTCCTCGAATCTTTCAAGCGCCAAGTCTTCGAAGCCTGCCCTCTTTGGCTGTTCAAGGCATGGACAGCACTAAAGCACCAAAAAGGAAACGGGGAGGCTGCACCGGCAAAAGGCAAGCTAGGCAAGCTAGACTGAGTCTAAATCTAGTAACATAGTAGATGAGGCTGGTGTTGCATCAGGATTTGTTTGGGAACCAAACAGAAAGCTTCGACATACTCTGGTCGAGATTGTTGTTGAGCGTATTGACACACACAGTTCCCGTGAAATGCAACTGAGGTTTGAACGCATTATAATGGCGTGTGAGATGTGCAGCGGTCTATGGACTTGATGCACATTCATGAAGTTCATCATTCCGCAACTCATCTCTGGAGAACTGAAAGCCTAAGCAAGGATGTGGACACGTTCATGGCCTCTTCCGCTTCGGAACATCTTTGAGAGGAGGCACAAGACGCTGGGGTGTCTCTTCACGAGCTACTCGTGGTGGAGACTTCTCACCTGATCAAACCCTGCAGCAAATTGAAGCACCATTGCGGAGCTGACACAAAGAACATGCACATGAAAAAGCGTTTTAGCTGTTTATATACATGTAGAAAGTATATTATATGCAAACCTGGTGTCAGCATTTTTGCAGTTTGCCTTTTTCGATTTTTGTTCGCCTTTTCCACTGTCTTCCTCTTTGTCCACTTGAACTGGAGCCAGTTCTTCGCCTCACTTTCGGCATGTCTGCTGAATTTTTAACATTGCTGTTGTAACGCTGTTGGAAATGCGATAGCAGCACAACTTTTCCGGCAACACCACCTGAGAAACTAGGCTTTGGACAGAACGCATCATTGAGACAAGACAAAGAGACAATGAAGCTTGAGCCTTTGCCAACTTCAGACCTAGGTCAGGAGACACGGCCCGAGTTCCAAAAATACATGCAGTTTGGTTCCCAGCTCTACTCGGATAGAACCGTTGTGCATCTGCACGATATCCAGGCACACAGCCAACCCCAAGCCCAAGCCCTCAGTGCATGGATGAGGGAGACTAAGGCGTTCATTCTCCAGTTCCTAACATCAACAAATCAATCAACAACTCCACTAAATAGATCAGCCTCTAAGACTCTAAGTGCTCAAAGAAAGAAGCTATCGTGGACCAGAATATCATTAGCAAAGAACGCCTTTCTGCAGAAGCAATCCTGAAAGTTGCGCGAATCACCAGAGCTGCTGTGCTCCTCACTGAAATAAGCCCATGCATCCATAGAATAGCTTGAATCAACAAGCTAAAGACGTAAACGGTCACCACTTCCAAGACATGTATAAATATCGTTGGCATCAAACCACTCCTGCTCAAATGGCTTAAAAATGCGCTCTTGCGCATCCCGTGAGATGCCGCAGCCTGGCAGTGTTGGCTGGAAGACAATGAGACTAAACAACACATCCAAGAAAATGCTACTTCATTTTCCCTGCTAGCAGGAGGCAAAGAAGATGAAGAAGAAGAAGAAAAAGAAGAAGAAGAAGCAGAAGAAAAAGCTGTTGAAAAGAAAAAGAAAAAATAACAGACGCAAACCGGCAGCAACAGAACAGCAGTAACTATTTCTACAAGTATTACAACTACTGCTACTACTGCTACTACTGCTACTGTTTGCGCTCCTGCTCCTGCTCCCCCTCCTCCTCGTCCTCCTCCTGCTGCTGCTGCGCTCCTTCTCTACTTTCCTTGTTGTTTAATGACAGCACCAAGCACAACAATCTGGCAACAGCAACCGCAGCAGCAACTACAGCACAACCATGACAAGGACAGGGGCAAGGACAACGACAAAGACAAGGCCAATTAAAGCGACCAACATCAACCACAGCCTGACGCCACAACACCATGCTACCACATGACAATATCAATAGGCAGGCAATAGTGCTCGGGACCAGCCTGTATCAACCACTGAAATCTCCAAGATAGACCGTTCTTGGATATGCTTTGCGCACACAGAAACCTTTGCTGCAGAAAGGGTTCGGGAATTGAAAGCCAATCCGCCCTGTCCGAGAATTGCAATTTCAGACACGCACTCAATCACCTGTCCGGTGGCCATCGTTAAGGCTGTAGGACAAGCAACTAGGAAGTACCAAAACTTTCAATTAGGGATAACCTTGGAATTACCTGTGGATATGATGAAGTAGAAATGAGAATAAGGGTGAAAGCTCACCGGCAGCGCCAGCAATTGAGAAGAGATATCAAACCATGACATGCATGACATCGCCCTGATAGCCAAACAAATCGACCAGTGGCTTGTGTTAGGTTAGTTCCCACGGGTTGGCGAAACCATGTTCAACATGGATCCTTTACTGCTTTTTGATCCAAGTTGCTGAGCCTTCTTTCGTGAATTTGCACGCATTTGTGAGGAGATTGTAGATCAGCTGGGTACATTTGTAATGATTCCCCATCCTTTGCCAAGCACATGAAGCATATGCGTGGAATCATAGGAAAGCTCCAGACTCCAGACAACCAATCTCGTGCCAAAAGTCACAATGGGCACCTTCCCAATCTCTGCTATACGGTTCTTGAGTTCGACGCCTGAACATCACAATCACTTTATCAATTCTGTTGAGGCTTTTGTTGTCAAAACGCTGACTATAACTATAACCTTTCCAGTTTAGTGTACAGTCGCCATTTCAAGTTTTCACACAACTCACGCCTTTTTGGATAAGAGGCTTGTTCGCCTCCCAAAGCGCACACAATGCTTGAATGCTGTTTTTGTGTGAAAGGATGGGCAGTCGTGCATCCCGAAAAAATGAGGTTTGCAGTCCAGGTGAGACCAATGTATCTTATCTTCATGGACCAATCTCAGCAAGGGGCACAATGGACCTTGCGGTGCTCAGGAATCAAAGCCAATGTGCTCGTGGCAAAAAGAAATACGCCCTCCCACCTTGTCAACCGCCATTCGGCTCATGACAACGGCCTCTTCAGCAATAGCAAGAAAATCCACCTGACAGTGCATCCAGCATGTTTCGGTGGCAAGTGTGCTGACTGGTGCTACATTCTGATCTGCATACGTCCCAGCCCATTAAGAGAATAGCTTCGGGAGAGTCAGTCCCGCCATATCCAAAAAAGAGTCTGGCATGTGATAGGCGACACCAAACGCAGTACATGGTTACAGGGATGCACAAGAATCATGCTGGGCCCGCAGAAAAGCACAAATTGAGACTGTTCAAATCTTTTAAGCTACACCACAACTGGGGCGGGCGGTCAACTATGACAATTGAACTTGGCCACGGCCTTTGAAGGCTGTTTTACAGTAAATTAATGCTGGTTTGCCTGACGAACATCAAACATTTATGGAATGAGGTGAAGCACCTCCGCACTGCGCAAGCTTGGTAAACTTTAGATCAAATCCCAGTCCGCTGCAATGTGTGTGTGTGCCGTCCACTCAGCCTTCGACGACTTCGGGATATTTGGGTTGTCCTTGCGGGCTTCTGCTTCGCTCAGGTCCATGACGTTGGTCACCAAATCCTGTTTGTTGCACATGACGGAATGAATAGATTGGAATCTTTCTCTTCATGACTGCACAGTTGTCACGTCCCAAACTTTCGAAAGCTGGAAAGCAAGAAATGGGCGGCTGATCTGCCAGTCGAAACACACACAACTTTTTACTGTCTAGAATGGAACTAATCTCGAAATGGCCGCTCCAAAAGTCTGGTGCTGCAGCTCTTCACCATCCCCAACCTCACTGCTGCCGTGCACAAAAAAAAAGAGTGCCGTATGGACGCAGGACATGTGTCACTTCAAGGACGGAAAGAGCTTTAAGAGCAGTTTCAGAGCTGGTTCTGGAATGGGGGTCTGCGGTCGGTCTTAGTTTTCTCATGTGGCAAGTCACTGCCTTTTGAGCTTGTCAGTGTTCACCAATTCGATCATGCTGGTGGCCAGGCCAATCATGCCATGCAAGGGGCTTCGGATCTCATGGGAAACGACCTTCAGACTGCCACCAAAGTCTCCAAACATGACCACAGCACCTCTAGAATGACTGCAGCATGCCTCAAAATACTCATGAATGCCTCAAAGCCACTGCCATCAGTCGGCTCTTTTTCTCCTCATGGTGGCGCCAGCTGACAACAATGATACGGGCTTGGTTTTTTTTTGCCCTGTTTTGGGTTTTGTTTCGACACGTTTGCCTCAGGGTTTCAAACGGACCTGTTAGATTTGGGGGCCGTGCCTCCCAAGGTTCTTTTTTGACCTGTTTTGAGGAGGTGCCAAGGTTTCAAACGGACCTGGTACATTTGGGGGCCGTGACTCCGAAGGTTCTTTATTGACATGGTTTGGGGCGCAAGGTTCTTTTTTGACCTGTTTCGGGCGGTGCTTCGACAAGTCTACCTCAGGGTGTCAAATGAACCTGGTAGATTGGGGGGCAGTGCCTCCCAAGGTTCTTTTTTGACCTGTTTTGCGGTGCCAAGGTCACAAAGGGACCCCGTACATTTGGGGGCCGTGTCTCCCAAGGTTCTTTTGATGACATGTTTTGGGGCGCAAGGTCCTTTTCGCCCTGTATAAGCTTCTCTGTTGACGTGTTTTGGGGAAAGGCTCTACCTTGGCCTGCTGGGGTTTTCAAACCGAGAGCAGCCGACAGTCGAGAAGACAAACCTAGAATACATCCAACTCGAACTTCCATTTATCGCCCCACTTCGCGCGGCCGCTTTGGGTCCGGCGTGCGGCCGCTGGACTTCCGCTTTCGGCCCGGCTTTGCCCGGGCGGGGATTGTATCCAAGTTGATATCCCCCTGCAAAGCTGCCACATACCATACATGCGGGCAGTTTGCCTTCTGGACAAATGTAGAGCACGTGCAGACCCTTCTGGCCGCATTCCGGCTCTTTCCATAACAGCGGGGCAAATACCGCGACGGAAATTCACCAGCAACCACAACACAATGGACATGAAACAGCAATTCGAGGTCAGTTGTGCTTAGCTTTTCTCCGTCCGCGGTACTTTGAAACACCTTGCTCTCCTTAAGCAAGGCGCGCAAATCCCCGCCGCCTGTTAGTAAGAGTCGCACGAGGTGCTCAGCACAGGCCTTGGACACCGTGGCATCTGCGGCCGCTTCTTTCTCGGTCGCTTGTGCACGCATGACCCAAAATGTGGACTTCTCTTTGTCTTTCTCAACACGTTGGAAGTTCACAGTCCCTCGTGCGTGGGCATCCCAATACTCCTGGGCAGAATTTTGCCCGAAGCGGCGCAAGGAGTCTCCTTTCACAAACACCTGTTCCACATGCCCGGGCCAGAGCAGGCACGGCAAACCTGCAGGGTTAGGGTTGCAGCAGCACATTTTGACAGCCTCGACCACACCCACTTAAATTACAGCAAACCACCTTTACCTGTCCTACGTCCGAGTTTGTCACAGGCCTTGCCTTGATCCTCAAGCATCCAAACTTTCCACGGCCCAGCATATAGTCCTTGCATGATTTCCAGTATCCTGTTGGGAGCAGCTCGAGCTTGATCTTGAATGCGGCGCTGCCAGAAGCTATGAAAGGCCTCTAAGGTTTGCGTGCCTGTCGCTGACCCCGGGTGTGTTCCAAAAACACCAGCCCAGTAATCTGCCCACAGCAACTTTGGCTCCAAGCTTGGGTGTAGCTTGAACATCTTGGAGACAGTCCCCACACTGACCTCTCGAATGTACTCTCTCCGCAGGTAGCCCACCACCTCCTTTTGGCCACTGGCTTCTAGCTCCGACATAAACTGGCACCAAACAGCGCTGAACAGTTCCAGTGTGGGCAAATGCCTTGCGCAGCGCACAACACGGAGCACACGGTCGCGCCACCCAGCTAAGGCTTTCTTGCTCAGCGTTGCGTGAGTGGCCCGCGTCATGTGGGGGTAGTCGTTTGCGGGCCTTGATTTGGGGAAGACGTGCCTCCGAGCAGCTTCAATGGAATCATTGAAGTCTGCTTGTACCTGTATCACGCGCTCTGGCAGATCAATAGCAAACTCCTTTTGCACAAGCTCAACCGCGGCTTCAAAAACCCAGGTCCAATTTTCATTCGACTCGCAGTCAATATAAGCTTGCATCAAAGGCTGCACCGTGCTCGTTCTCAGCTGCATCTGCACTTTCTTCCCGCAATGCTCTCGATCAAGTGTCGTATTGCGCGGTGTGTGGCTTGTCCCCATTATTCCAACCGTCGCAACCACCGCGCCTGAGGTAGCAATCCTTTGCTTGCCGTCCACTGTCAAGCACACAGGTTCCCCACGGGGGAGTTGTCGCATATGGTTCAGGAAGCCCCGGGCCGTCCAAGCAATACACACTTGCTTCACAGTGTGCACAGGATTCCCGACAATCCGGAGGTCGGTCAGAGCTGCATTAGTGAAGGTTGTTGACTGCTGTTCTACCCAACTGTCCACCATAAACTTCATGTCCTGCACTGTGATCTGCTGGCACTCTGGTTCGCCTCTCCTCTGCCGGTTCTCTCTACTGATCCATGACTTCAGCTGCGTGTCTGTTACGCGCACTGGCGCGTTGCGGGCCGCAAAAGCTGCTTTCACTTCCTTCACAGTCACCTTCTTGCCACCAGGAAATGCAGCGGCCAATAGGCTAGCAATCCAAACAGGTCAACAGGAAACCCTGCACAGGTGCCCGAAACAGGCCTAGGCCTTTCTCTGCTCGCTGGCAAGCACACAAACAGGTCAGCAAGAAACCCTGGACAGGTGCCCAAACACCCAGGCCTCTCCCTGCTCGCTGAAAGCGCCCAAACAGGTCAAAAAGAAACCCTACACAGGTGCCCAAACAGCCCTGTCACAGCCTTTCGCAAACCAACCTGCAACCCGTGTCCAAAAGGAGTCCGGCCCGAGGGCTTCCGCCACGCAGGCTAGCCCCAAACAGGTCAAAAGGAAACCCTACCACGGCCTCGCCCCAGTTGCAGGCAAGCACCCAAACAGGTCAACAAGTAACAAGAAACCCTGCGCAGGTGCCCGAGGGCTTCCGCCACGCAGGCTAGCACCCAAACAGGTCGAAAGGAAACCCTACCACGGCCTCGCCCCGCTTGCAGGCAAGAATTTAAACAGGTCAACAAGAAACCCTGCACAGGTGCCCAAACGGCCTCTCTATGTTCGCTGGCAAGCGCCCAAAAAGAAACCCTGCACACGCAGGCTAGCACCCAAACAGGTCGAAAGGAAACCCTACCACGGCCTCGCCCCGCTTGCAGGCAAGAATTTAAACAGGTCAACAAGAAACCCTGCACAGGTGCCCAAACGGCCTCTCTATGTTCGCTGGCAAGCGCCCAAAAAGAAACCCTGCACACGCAGGCTAGCACCCAAACAGGTCGAAAGGAAACCCTACCACGGCCTCGCCCCGCTTGCAGGCAAGCACCCTTAAACAGGTCAACAAGAAGCCCTGCACAGGTGCTCGAGGGCTTCCGCCACGCAGGCTAGCACCCAAACAGGTCGAAAGGAAACACCCAAACAGGTCAACAAGAAACCCTGCACAGGTGCCCGAGGGCTTCCGCCACGCAGGGTAGCACCCAAACAGGTCGAAAGGAAACCCTACCACGCTCGCAGGCAAGCACCCAAGCAGGTCAAAAAGAAACCCTACACAGGTGCCCAAACAGCCCTGGCACGTCCTTTCGGAAACCCGCCGCCCAAAGAGCCCTGGCACCCAAACAGGTCAAACAGAAACCCCACAGAGGTGCCCAAATAGCCTTGTCACGCGGCAAGTGGATAGACTTGCCACAGGGACGCAAAGGCCGCAAGTGGAAGTTTCCGCAGGGACGCACGGGCCGCAAGCGGTTTTGACCACAAGGACGCATAGGCCGCAAGTGGATAGACTTGCCACAGGGACGCAACCCCCGCAAGTGGAAGTTTCGCCACCGTATCCAGCCCATGAACGGCGAGCAGGTCAAAAAGCAACCCCACAGAGGTGCCCGAACGACCCTGCCGCCGGGCAAGCACCCAAACGGGTCCAAACGAAACCCACACAGGTGCACACAAACCCCTGCCGACGGAAAAAACGACCCAAACAGGTCAAAAAGCAACCCGACAGAGGTGTCCAACCAAACAGTTGAGACCCTGTACCCCGGAAACAGCTCCAAAAAAAACCCTGCCCATCCAAAAAAACCTGCCCAACCAAACGGTACTGTTTGACACCTTGTACCCCGGAAACAGTGCCAATTGAAACCCTACACCCCGGAAACAAATCTGAAAAAAAACATTCCCAACCAAACGGTACTATTTGAAACCCTGTAGCCCGGAAACAGATCAAAAAAAAACCTGCCGGGTGCAAAAAAAACCCAGTCCCAATGATACCATACAGCTCTTTTTCTGTCCAAATACCCATGTGCCATTGTGTTGTCCACACGCTCGTCTGCGGGGCATCTCGCATGATTTTGGCATACTTCTGCCGGTTTCTTTGTCATTTTCCATCAGTATATTGCCCATCATCGTGGCAACACTGGAGCGGGATCTCTTTATCAGGGTGCGTGCCACTGGTCTGGGCCAGGGTGCCTGGTCGGAGTTGTCAAGCGCCTGTGACTTAGCTCATGAGCTAATCGGGCAGGGACCGCGGCTGTGGCAGGGTGGAGGGACTGACTTCATATGACTTCATCTCTCATCCAATAATGTGAAAAATTGACAGTATACACATTGTTTAAGGGTCTGGTGAATGTATGGAAAATTATATATGCCAGCATAGACCCCAAACAGCAAAAGGATGTTTGTAGCAGCACCCTCCAGCACCCAAGCTCCAAAGTGCGCATGGCCACGGGAAGCGACACCAGCACCCTGGACATCGCGCAGCAGCGGCACCCTGCAGCAGCACCTCCACTCAGGCTCCAAAGCGCACACAAGCCGCTCTTCCTATACTTGAAGCAAGAACCCCAATAGCTCTCGCTATCTGGTGAAACAAACACTTTACCCCGACAGAGTTAGGAGATCTATTTAGGTCTCAAACTGCCTGACCATGACACAATCCTTGCATTCCACAAGTTCATTGCCCTTGATTCATGTTGGCATTGGGCATGTCCACCTCGCATCCATGATGTTTGCTAACTAGCAGGAATGGCAGATTTACACGACTCTTGAGTTCCCAAGCATGGTGAAAGCCAGCTGGAGCAAAAGGCAAAATCCTCATGGGCCAGATTGTCAAGGTATGTGAAGACAAAGGCATTGCTACTTTCCACTATGAGTTGGTGAAGCTTTGGTGAAGCTCTGTGTTCCATTGTCACCTTACCCGGGCAGAGGAGGGGCTGCGTAGTGAGAAAGCAAATCGTAGTCTGCCCAGTCTGCCCGGTTGTCTACGAGAGCACATATGAAAGGGATTGTTGCTCACGTAAGCCACCTTATCCAGAGAGGCTTGATGTCAGGCCAGAGAATGGAAGGGCAGTAAGCGCCTGATGACTCGCTAACTGGCACTCCTTGCTGCCGGACTACTCACAACATCCGTTTGGTACATTGGTATAATTAACCTTCAATTTGCTTCCTCACGCATTCCCCATGGTTTGTCTGTCCTGGTGACTGTGTGTATACTGAATGTACAAGTGATACAAGTGTACACCTTGGAACCAGAGGTTGCCTACAAGGCGCGAAAGAGAGCTATGATGGCAAAAGGATCGTTTTCCAGAAAACAGAGATGCAAAGAAGGCCTTATCAAAGAGGCCCTGATCTAACTTCCTTTTCTGTCACCTTGGTATTCCACTGCACAAATACCTGAAGAAGGGCATGTCTTCTCAAAGGTTCACAAGCTTTGCACAAGGGGCTCCTCTACGGCTTTCAATTCGCTCAGCTCGGTAAGATTCTGTCCAATTGCAACCAATGCCTTGACACCATCCTGCGCCAAGACAGACAAACAAACAGACAAACAAACAAACAAACAAACAGACAGACAGACAAACAAACAAACCAAACCAAACCTACTGAGAAATGGTCATTTCTCACTCACAATTGTTTCCTTGCTCAAAAAATGTTATGTCGTCAAAGTTTCCTTCCATTCAAAAAACGTCATGCGAACAAACCAATCAAGATCTCAAGTGTGCTTGAGTGGATCTAAAACATTCTCCAGCACCACAGGCACGAAGTTGAGCAGAAGGTATTGCTCCTCTTTCCCTGACTGAATCGCCGGACTTGAGCAGTCTTTTGTCTGAAGCCCGCATGCAAGTATCAAAAACAAAAACACAAAAGTGCGTCACAGCCAAAGGCTCTGAGTTATTAATGTCCTGCAAACAGTACAAGTTCTTCAACAACTTGTAAAAACAAATTGGAAATAATTCAATTCAATGAGTCTCTCTTATTGTCCAGAATTGCAGCAAAGGCACGATAAGGAGACTTGCTGGTGATTTCGATCAAGCCCGAACTGTGCAGGATGGATTTGGGATGATTGATCCGATTACGTCAGAACACACAAAATAGTGCTGCGAAAGAGGTTGAGACAGCCAAAGGGACCCTTCTATTGAAAAAGTTTGACAGGGCCATGGTGGAGCTCTGCGGCAAAGGGAATATTGTCTCCACAATCACAACTGTTGTAGTATTTTTTTCTGTTGAGAGGGGTGCAACGATGTGCCCGAACGAACAACACCTGTATTGACATGCAGAAAGGCCATAGACTGGTCAAGATGTCAATGTTGAAACTACTGCAAGTTGGCTGTTGAGGCTGATGACAATGTTTCACAGAATTGGGTTGTTACATGGTTCGTGCATGTTTCACTGAAGGGAATGCAATTGTGCAGGACATACTATTTGCTTCAAGAAATCAGTCATAAACATATATAAATATAGGCACTGCACACATATCAGGGTCACCATCTTCTTCGGACGATATTGAGTACTGAGGATGCTCATCCCAATTTGTTCTGTCTTCCCACAAGCCTCTGCTGGCCTTGATTGACATCCTTCACCGCTTGGTCAAAGACCTGCTTCTGCTGCTCTACGGCAATCAGAGATCTGAAATTGAGACCTTAGTTTTGCCGTTGAGAACTTGTGAACTGCAAAACGCCTTGTGCTCGATGAGGCTTTCGCCAGCAACTGACTTCTCGGCAGTGTTGAGGAGTTCCTTGGTGTGACGCAGTCAAGGGCAACTCCACATACGACTCTCATCTTCGACACAGTACTATAGCATCTCAGGAAGGTTCAAAGCACACAATCAAATTCAATCATGTTCCAGATTCAGCCCGCTTCATCAACCTAGCTTATGTAAGTAAATATGCATGTACGTATGTATGTATGTATGCATGCAGGTAGGTAGGTAGGTAGGCGTGAATGCATGTACGTTTGTATGAAAAAAGGTTTGTATGAATGTATGTATTTTCTCCTGAGGTTGAGTTTCGGCTGAAAGCCCCTTCGGCCTGGGTGTCTAGGGCTGCCTCACAGCATGAAATTCTGCCGGCCAAAAGAAGTCCACTGCCATCACGCCGTCCTCATCGACAGAGTCTGGTGGGCCTGGTTCTTCAGCAGCAGTTGCAGGCATGACTGCATCAGCCTTTGTGTCTTCCGGACGTGGTCCGTGACAAGAAAGCTGCCTTCCCTGATCTCGGCATAGCGGCATTGCATAGCTCCGGTTTGGGAATGGAGCCAGCCGGCTCCAGAGGCCCTGGGAGCTTTTGGATGTCCACTGGTTCGGAGAGCTCCAAAGCGGCCGTTGCCCCATCTTTCAGTTGCATCTTTGTTAGCTCCAGCCCTAAGCAACAAATCCGCAAATTCCAAGTGGGCCATCTTGGCTACCATGTGCAAGGCCGTCTCCCCCTATGATCCTTGTCTATTTATCTGAGCCCCAGTGTGAAGCAACGTTGTCAGGACTTCCAGGCGGCACTCACCTGTGGCAAACATCAAAGGCGTTATCCCATCTCTGCTTGCTGCATCTTTGTCAGCTCCAGCCCTGAGCAACAGCTCGAGAACATCCAAGTGGTTCTCGCGGGTGGTCGCAAACACAGGATTAAGCCCATCTTCGTTTGTTGCCTCTTTGTTGGCCAGGGTGATCAAACCCTGAAAAAGAGCTCTGGCCTTGCTTTGGTGTCCAGAGGCATTCCAGCGCTGGCGCCCTTGCGAAGATGCAAGCCTGTGCCCTGGAGTCGCCGGAAGATTGTGTGGCATCAAGGGTCACTGACATCCCTTGGTGAGGCTCCAGGTGGTGGGTGGGCGCTGGAGATGTTCTTGTGGCTCTTTGGGGCCAGCTATAAGCCCATACTGGTTCTTTGTCTGGATTGAGGACGCGTTCCGGGCATGGGTTCATGGCCCTTTCTGTGATGCTTGGACGCGGCGGGTACCTGGGAAAAGGGGCACAGCTTGAGGGCGTTGCCCTGCGTGGGTGGCACGTCATTCGCCATACGGTCTGCCCACACACTAGAAGCAATCAAATCACACGATACCGCCAGCCCTCCCGCTCACCAGCGACACCCCGCGTTTACACCAGCGTGTTTCGCGCTCCCCACTGGCACGGCGCCACGCAAACGCACTTCCTACCAAGGCCGCGCAAATCCGCATGGCACTGCGACATCACGGACGCAATTTGGCCACGCATCCTGCCCACACATTACAAGCAATACTATCACACGATACCGCCAATCATCCCGCTCACCAGCGACACGCCGCGTTTACACCAGCGTGTTTCGCGCTCCCCAGCGGCACGGCACCACGCAAACGCACCTTCCACCAAGGCCGCGCAAATGCGCATGGCACTGCGACATCACGGACGTAATTTCGCCACATGGTCTGCCCAAACACTAGAAGCAATCATATCAAACACTTCTGAGTCCAGCTCCGCAACACTGTTTCCCGCACTACATTTGTACTACACAAACTGCCAACCAGCTCCACAAGTGAAGCGCCAAGTCTCCAAAATGAGCGTTTCGTACGAGACTTCCTCCAAAAGTGAAGCGCCAAGTCTCCAAAACCAGCGTTTCGTACGACACCGGGCCCAAGTCTCCAAAACGAGCGTTTCGTGCGAGACTTCCCCCAAAAGTGAAGCGCGACCAATCCAAAATGCAATCTCACCTGCATTTCGCGCCCTCGACACGCACGATCTCCGCAGAGGGTTCGCGCGACCAATCCAAAACGCAATCTCACATGCACTTCGCGCCCTCGACACGCACGATCTCCGCAGAGGGTTGCGCGTGACCAATCCAAAACGTAATCTGACCTGAATTTCGTGCCCTTGACACGCACGATCTCCGCAGAGGGTTGCCCGCGACCGGGCCAAGACGCAATCTCACCTGCATTTATGCACCGGGCCAAAACGCAATCTCACCTGCATTTCGCGCCCTCGACACGCACGATCTCCGCAGAGGGTTGCG